AAACCCAGTAAAATTCATAAACAATAATGTCTAGCTTCCTCTGTGCTGTGCATTTGGATGGGATGGGTGTGGATGTTGGTGTTTCTGGTTGTGGGTATGAGTGTGCTTAAAGGTGGAGAGTGTGAGTGTGAGTGTTTGCCTTTTGTTCAGGCAAACCTCACACCTACACCCCCCATCCACATTCACACCCACCCACACTCCACACCCCAGATTAATCTATTCCTTCTGTCATCAAAAAACCAGTATGAAACCTGCAATACTTATTCCAATTTGAATAAATGACTGAATTGATGTGGAAATTAAAAAAAAAATGTGACTCGCTTATCTGACAAAGAGAATTTTTTTCAAAAAACAAATTTTATTCCATTGAGAAAAGGCTTCCTTGTAAACGAAGTTCAATACATCTAATTACAAGATCAAGATGAATAGAAATGAAGCATTTTTTTCAAGTAATGATTACATCTGGGGTAGCTGTGGATGGATTCAAATGTTGCTCTACTATCCATCTACAGTCCACCTCACACCAATACCCTAATTAACTTTTTTGTTCAATTCTGGTTCCTTAAAAATAACTTGAATTTAAATTGCTACTTCACTCGATTATTTAACAGTATAATGAATTATCATGCACACTACAGAGGAAGCTAGACATTATTGTTTATGAATTTTACTGGGTTTCGGTTGAGTCTTCTATTCCTTATTAGTTCAGCACTAATAACACGAAAAACATGATCATTATATGCATCTCCTCTTTCAAAATACGCTCTATCTTTTTCATATGATAACGCGTTGATGAGGGTTCTTTTTCTTTAAAAGCAGTGTATCAAAAAAAAGAGAGGCTAAGAACGAAATATAATAAGAAATAGATTATAAACCATAAAAGTAGATAAGATAATGTAATACACATTGACAGACAAGTAAGAAAGAACGCATCAATTCACGTAGCGATGTTTTATGGCCGTTGAATATTACAATTACAGCTACGTAGCAGAAAGCGAGAAGTTACATTTTTTATATATTTTTGAAAGCATGAAAAAGGTCAAATAAACTTATATCATTCACTTCAACACTCTGTCTCTGCCCCGGAGGCTCTGGCTAGAAAGTTCTAGAAAATATTAAAATTTTAAAATCAGAATGTAGCTGTCGTATTCAACAATCGGCTCTGCTTAATCGTGCTAGATTTCAACCGAAAGAAAAGACATATGAGTATCCCATGCTTGTGTTAGTTTCTACGATTTTCAAATTTTTTTTAACTAAAATTAACTGCACAAAAATCATTTTGGTTAGTTAAATTTATAAACTTGATCTTTTTGAGAAAATATATGGGTGTTGACAAAAATATATAGTTTTCATATTTTTGGATCAAATCTATAAAAGAAATTGATATTTGTAATCAAACTGGCATAGTCAGTTAGTTTCTATTTTAAAATCTTATTTTTGAGAAACATTTTTTCAAGATTTTTGAATATTACTGTTCAAGTAGAACATCGGAAAAGTATCTTGGGAAAGGAGCTAGTCAAATCGATACGGTGTTCTCATGAAGGAAAATACTGGAAGACCATTGTTGTTATTTGATTCGTAAAGATTATATAAAGTATCAATTTTATAATGTTTGCAAACTATTTCAATAGTCCAGTTTTAGTTTCTCTTGGTAAAAATTTAAATCATTCAAATGAATAGAATTGAAATATGTCAGTTGTTATTTTTCTTTTAGAATGCCAACTAATATAATTCCTGTCATTGATATTAAATCATTAGTTCAATCAAATAATAATGAACAAAAATTGATTGTTGCAAAATCAATACGTCAGGCATGTGAAACATACGGTTTCTTTCAAATAATAAATCATGATGTGCCTCAAAATCTCATTGATGATATGACAAATGAATCATTTCGTTTTTTTCGTTTACCATCTGATGATAAGTTAAAGTTTGCTGCTCGTCGATGGAATCCTCAAAGTAAAAATCAATATCGTGGATATTTTCCAGCATATGTCAATGGAAAAGAAGGCTTAGATATATCAAATCCATATATGTCTCCAACACATCCATACGTACAAGAAAATGTACCATTACATGAATTGAACCAATGGCCAACAGAACAATTATTAGGTAAACAGTGGAAAATGACAATTACACAATATTGGGATTATATGTGGCATTTGTCAGTAATAATAATGCGTGGAATAGCATTAGCGTTTGATTTAAATGAAAGTTATTTTGATAAATTAATTGATGATACAGCAAATGGCGGTGCGGGTACCTTATCAGCATTGCGTTTGAATTTTTATCCAAAACGTGATGATTCAATGCCACCATTAATAGGTGAAGATGGACAAATACTTTCATGTGAAACACATTGTGATAATGTTATTTTAACAATTCTATATCAACATCAAGTAGGTGGTTTACAAGTTCAATTAGATAATCCAAAACGATGGATAAATGTTGACGTTGTTCCATATGCATTTGTTGTTAATGCAGGAAGATGTCTTGAACGTTTGACTAATGGTCTATTAAAAGCAATTAATCATCGTGTGACACTACTCAAGCAAGAAAGATTGTCAATACCCTTCTTTTTATCTGCATGTTATACAACACCAATTGTCGCTCTTCCAACGTCTATAAGTAAAGAAAATCCACTAAAATATGAACCAATTAATTATGGCCCCTATATTTTGAAAGCAATTCAGCAATTTAAAGAATACAGAAGAGATGACAATACTAATTAATGAGATGAATAAATCAATTATAACACATCGGTTTCTATGCAATCATATAATTTATTAATTAATAGTGAAATAAAAATGATACTGTATTAAGATAGAGTCCATGTGAAAACCACCAAATTTATTGATAGAATAAATTTTTAAAAAAGTCATTTAAATGCTTGTAATGTGACCATTCGAAATCTCATGCAGAAATAGTTCTACTTTGTAATTTTTAATTTGATCAGACATCATTTATCAGTGTCACATGAAAACCTAAAGCATCATTTTGTTTTTGAAAACCGTCTACAATCTTATGTCAAGCCTGACTCTAGTTTTTCGAAGGTATGCGAGGGTGTTGGTTTGAAATTCAATGTCATAATAAATGAGCATTAATACAAGAGATTATGATACATCTAATTCAGAAATCATCCATAGAGAAATTATCTTTAGATGAGTATTCACAAAAAAAAATATAACACGGCTCATACCCATCAGTCTTTGAGCTCAAAGGATGACCATTTTACTGATTTTTCACCCATATTTAGGTATCACTGAAATATCAAACAAGGTGATACCGACTTGAAATTCAGCTTATGAATAGATCGAAGAGTTGTTACAATAGCCAAGAGGTACTTGTTAATAGAATCGAGTTCAGTTGAGAATTCAAATTTCAACAATGACTGAGTGTGAATGTATCCTTCTGCGTAGATGAGAGTGATTGTCTGATCTTCTCTATAACTGTATACCCACATCTTCTATGGTTGAGCATAGTTACATCATGCTATCGAAAAAAGCAATGGCCATGCTGACTTATCATAAACGGATGAAAAGTTTATATATAGCATAGACTAATCTCCAAATAATCTGATAGATTGGAGCAAGTAACAGAAACAAAAATATGGTCCACATTTTACTCTGATCATAAGTGAGCTAGCATGCGTTCTATCCTGTGACTAACTGCTCCGATAAATTCACGCTTAGAGTTTATAATTTTGCAAAAACTGAAATTCCAATTGTTAGAGGACAACACATTCAAAAAATGAATTGTCATAGACATGCCTAGAACTTTTGTGAGATTGATGTATATGAAATATTTATCAAGGTTTCAAGTAATCATATCATTTGGATGATGCATCATACACCTTTACTCCGTCATTCTTTCTCTTATATCTTGACTTTATCTTCTAGCTTGAATTATTTTGCTTAACATATACGACGGACGATATGACGAATACACACGTTTCAGATTCTTCTCTAACTATTGCACACACTAAGGAAGAAAAGAAAACCACTACAGATCAATGTACAACTTGTTCCACCGAAATTATGCAGAAAGGCTCTATTGGTTGGTATACATATGCATTCTTTATAATTACATAAAAAAGGTTGCAAGATTGTTAAAAAAGATCAGAATTGAGGCAACATTTCGAATGTAAATTAACATTCCATATATTAAAAACAATATTTAACTTACTGTTACAAATGTCTTCTTCTTTTGTGTATTCTAAGCAAAAATCGAACAAATTTCACACGAAGATTTCACAAAGAGCACTTCAGACAACAAAAACTTGTTTTCTGTCGACAAATCGAACATCCAAGTCAGGAATAAACTCACACATAAATATTTCTTGCTAGTCGATGCACCGTTTGTTTGAAGAAAAATATCTGCTTCATCCATTACTCTAGTAGATCAAGTAAGCACACACTACACTAACAAAAGTGCCATATAAAACCTAGAAAAAGTACTAGTTTTCTAATGAAACAAAAACCTTGCTTAGATTTTTTAAAAGTATAGTTTTGTAGTCCCAATATCCTAAGAATTACAATCACATGCTATTAAATAATTATTTATAAAACTACGTTCATCTAGAATGACAAACTGCTTACTGCAGCTCCTTACACTAAGTTGTTTATCAATATCTGTCTTTATGTTAAATCTTGTTCTGTCTCCTGATTCTTATGCTGAATCTGTATATAATAGCTTACCATAGCCTTGATAGATATTTTTCCGTAGCTCAGATATCTTTAAACAATGCAAGAGTTAATATTTCTTAACTAAGTGTAGCTCTGTTATGTATTCTTTTTGTGCCAATCTATTTTCTTAGTTTAGACGCGTGAGTAGAGTTGTATCCATCTATATATTTACTTTACGTTAGTAATGAGAGCAACACCGCTACAAAAGACAAATGTTATTTCGAAGAGCTCTAGATATTAGCAAGGAGCGATCACTTAATCATTAGCATATATGAAAGCTAAATGACTAAATTTTCATTGTTTTCTAGTAAGAATCATTGATCAGTCAGTTAACCATTGATAACAGAGTAAGTTTGAGATTTTGTTTTCTCTTTTCATATAATATAGAGAAAGTTTAATAGATAACTGATTTACGTCACAGTAATATTATATAAAGTGTGTGGGTGTGGGTGTGGGTGTGGGTGTGGATGTGGGTGTGGATGTGGGTGTGGGTGTGGGTGTGGGTGTGGGTGTGCACGTGGGCTGTAGGTGTGAGTGTGGGGTGTAGGTGTTTGTGGGGAGGTGGGCATCGGTATTTTACAAGAAAATCTCAACACTTAAACCCACACCCACACCCACACCCACACATCCACACCCACACCCACACAGGCACACCCACACCCACACATCCACACCCACACACACCCACACAGGCACACCCACACAGGCACACCCACACGGCCACACCCACAGCCACACCCACACCACCTCCAGGATCCAATGTCCTACGATGAGCATCGCCTGTATAACACGTTTCATTTTTTCTTCCATCACGATTACAACATGCAGAAACATCCCCAACTGCACTTGGTCCACGACAAGAAAAACATGACGATGATGGGACAAATATAGTCAAAATTATCGATATAATGAGTAGGTTACTTTTCAACAATACGATCATTTTCATTATTATAGGATATTGTGTAAGTGTTTTTTTCACATGTATTAGTCGTTTGACTTTTCGCACTCCTTATTGATTTATACGTGATAAAAAACAAACCAATGAAAAAGAGAATAAGACTATGAATAAAATAACTTACTATCTATAAATTTAGTTTCTGATAGCAATAGTCTTCTATAGAAACAAAAATATTATTTTATATTGCTGTATATCCATTTGCTTTACTGTGATCTATAACGGGAAATTCCGTCTCTTTCTATTATTTTTTCTAATATCTACGTAACATGTATAGTTCTCTTCGCTGATATTTATTCAGTTGTCAACGACAAAAAGAAAAGGAAATATAGCCATAATAATTATTTCCTTTTTGGGTAATATCTACAGAAGAAATATACTAGATTATATCATCTTCTACGGATGCTTATTTAGTTATCAGCTATAGAAAGAAAAACAAGCCATAATAATCACTCTCAAAACCTTTGGAGTATTCGGAAATGTCGTAAAATTTATAATCTATTTTCTTATCAGCTTTTAAATTTAATGTTCAAATTCATATAAATGAAAAAATATCCATTCCTTATTAGCAAAATACACATGATGATTCTGTAAAGGACAATTTATATGGGGGTGTGTAGAATAATTAATCGTTCCACGACAAACGAGCGTTTGTTTCTGTTTTGTCAGAACGTCATCAGGTGGATACTCAAATTAGGTATTATATCTTATTACGAGTAATTCAAATTAAAGAAACTAAATGTAACATAGGAACTACCCTGATACAATAACCATAATGTTATATTTTTGCACATTAAACCATCAATAGTATTAAGGGTGTGGGTGTGGGTGTGACTATGAGTTGGGTGTTTGAGCATAGATACTGTCTTCGCCTACACCCACACACCCACACCCACCCCACCCACACCACATACCAACACCCACACCCACACCCTCAAGAACAGAATTGTGAAACCAATCAAAAGAATGAGATAAAGCTATGTCGATACAATTTGTTGTCTCCAAACAGAATTTATGTTAG